CCCCCCCCCAAACACACACACAAAGACAAAAGACCCAACCACATTCACTAAAATGTTTTTCTCAAGTCGAAACAATCGCGCTCCCAAAAACCATTCTGTCTGTATAAATGGCCTAGAAATCATCGGCTTTGAGTTATCAGAATAACCGTACCGGGAAATATATCCATGTACATATATATACATCTGCTGAAGGATACCGATCCCCGTTTCACGATGCCCATTATTAGTTTACGAGTATTCATAGAACTTGGAAAATACAATTGTTAACCAGTTTGGCAATGATGTACAAGCATGGCTGAAATTATGTGACAGAACTTCAATAACTGGAATTCGCTAAGGGAAATCATACGTTATTTTCATATAATGTGATCTGGCAAAACTATGTTTCCAAATTGTTAAGGCAATAAATTAAAAACAATAATGACGTTCAACTGTTTGCTGAAATCCAATATTGGAATTCCTTTGAAATTTTTTCGTTCGGCTCATTTTCTCTCGGATAAAAGTGTAGCTTTAAAGAATATGTTGATGGTCTGTCATATGAGTTTTTTTAAGTAATATTAATATATATATCTGGGTAAGGCGGGGTCTACGTGCTCATAGACCCCGTCTTGTCTATAAAGACCAAAGGGGTCTATGAGCCAGTAGACCCTTCCTAACCCAAGGATAACGAATTTCTTTTATTACTTTTTTTTTCTGAAAGATTTATAAGTCACTTTGTGAGTTTGAGTTGTACTTGACTGCTACCAAAAAAGCCCCTACCGACACCTTTTCAGCAATATGTCTGACAATACACAACCAACTTTGTTATGAGCACCCTAGCGGCCCCTCATTGCATTTTTCGTTGAATTTGCTGTTGTTTTCGATTGCCTATAGACTATTTCATCCTGTGAATGATTGGCAAACCTCCAACGCATTTGTGTGTTGGACACCATCTTTGTTGTTATGAAGAGAGATTTTAGTTTGAGTTATCTCCCCGGCAAGATACCCAATCAGAAAGAGTGTTACAACTTAGAAGAATGGCACTTATTTTGTTTGTTTGCTTTTGTTTAACGGCTTGTCGACAACTTCGGTCATTTAGGGTCACGATAATCTTGCCACATCGGGCGACCACTTGACAAAACCAAAAAAAGAAATCAGAATACGGATAAGCGTGTTTTTTTTGCTAAACTACCCCAATATCAGAAAAATACTTTTGTTTCTTTCACTTTCATGCGATCTTGACGTTACACCTTACAATTAGACAATCTATCTATAATACAAGTACATACAATAAACCTTTTGCGTATGGACCGATCTTTCGCGAAGAAGAGTTCGTCTCAGAAATTCTCTAATTTTGCTTGGAGTAATCTCCCTTGCATATAGAAGATAAAGCAACCAAAAGGAGACGTTCTGTCTTAATCATAACTTACCCAGTCAGGTTATGTATCTTTCAATATTCATTTGTATCTGTATAGACATTATGGCCTATAAATTGGACTCTCATTGTCGGACTCTACATTTCTATTTCTAGGACTGCAACATTGGTAACGCTGATGCCTGGTGTTTAAAGGGCCCGAGTTCGAATCCTTTAGTATTTTCCTTTTATTTCTTTGATTAAATTTCTATTTTGATTAAATTTCTATCTTGAAACATTCCAAATTTCAATTTATAATATGCTGTAAACTGCGTTGCAACATGTGCATTTTATTGAATATACTTTGGAAGGAAAGGGACATATACTAAAGTGGTACTTGTTGGTGCTTTTCATTAAGTAATGATCTAATGCTATTTAATTGTTTTCAGTGAAGGAGAAATATGTTTCCGATCCGTCATATACAAAATTTATGAAGCAATGTCATTCTGGTTTTGAACTTGCAAACGTCACCTCCGCTGTACCGTACACTTCTGTGTCTGAGAAGTCGCCGCCAGGCAAACGCTCGAGGGAGCTTAATATAGGTAAGTATGCTATATTTAGAATAAACATTAATAATTTATAGAGGATCTGTCATAAGTTTCCCTTCATATTAGATTTATGATACAAGTTTTGGATTTTTTTTTATGTTTGCGAGCCTCTGGCGAGCAAATATGAAAAATCCGAAACGAGTTTAATGAATGACAGATTCTTGTAATCATATAATACAAAATATACTGTATAATTGTGATCTGAAACGAATATTTTGCACTTGGCCGCCACTGAAACGATAAAAATTGCGTCCGCTTCATATTGACGTGACGTCACATTGATTGTTCCTGTTCGATTGTGACCTCATTTCCGGAGTGATATTACATAAATATGATTTATGTGATGGCTTTATGACATTGCATAACACGTTATTATGTTCAACAATTGTGTCCATATTTGGTCTGCAGTAATATTTCCTTTTCAAACATTTTGATTTAATTTCAGACTATAACGGGCATTCCATGACAAAATGATATTCATCTTCAATTTTAGTACACACACTACAATATCGCATTTCTGCAGGAATTGTGTTAGGTCTATGCCATCTCTCTGCTTCTATATTCAATCTATGGGAAGACATGCGAAGCGCTGTTAAAGATTTTCGAAAAAGTGTTAACGTTTACTATATCAAGATGTATTGCTTTTGAATATAACTGCATGCTAAATAAAAAGCAACTCCAGGTGGAAGTTGCCGAAGAACTTTGAACTCTTCTTCGTTGGAGATCAATCACAGATTGGTTACATATTTACAAATTATAGGATCGCTGTGTCCTCTTTGATACTATTCTTTAATCACTCATGCCAAAAACAAATTCGGAAACAAAAATTCGGTCTCAATTGTTTTGGTTTAGCATCCATTAATCGGCAAGGTTGTTAGTGAAGCATAACTGATAATTCAGCAGCTGACTAACATCTTTCGACACTTTCATCGGTTAAAATCCTGAAATCTGGGAATTTGGATAAAGAACTACAAAAATACCTGTATTAATTTTTATTCTTAATTATTAAACTCATTTCAAGTAAGTTTCCACGAGAACTGACTCATCTTTGGTAAAAAAAACTAAGATCAATCGATACTGTAATATATATTTTGACAGCAATAGAGGTCACACGACAGTTGACTGTTTATGTCCTCTACTTGGAACCCCTCGCCTCGATCAGTCTCTAAATTCGTCCTCCAGATGCAATGCCCCATGATACTTCATAACGATGACGTTTATAAAACATTTATAAAACATTTCTGGTTCATAATTGGAAATGAACATGTCACATATGCCATTAATGTTTCGAGTAAATATTTAATGCCACTGGCTTCGTTCACCAGAATTGTTAATATACAGTCTCATATTCTGATTCAATTTTAATCGAGGACAGAATTATTTTTTTCATTTGTATGAAGGCCAGCATATCTATTTTTATGATGGAAAAATTACACTATTACTTACATCCAATCACACAAAGATTTATTCAGTATGAATTTAGAACGTTAAAGCGATGGTACTACATTTTCCATCAAGTTATGAGTAATATTTAATGTGTACCCACGTGTTCCTGCTCTACCGAGAATAATTTTGATGGATAATTGGTTTTAATGAGGAAAGTCTATCGTTGAAATCTAAAACATGTAACATATATTTTAATCGAGTGCAGAGCCCGCCTAGCAGGTCTGACATTCTGTAACATGCCTCTCTCGTGGTTGTTCGTCATTCTCTGTATTTAGATATTGAGATTATTTCTGTTGTTGTAAAAACACCCTGCAGATTATTTTCGTAGAAATTCAAAATATTCATTTATTAGTTTCATCGAAATTCGAAATATTTCATGAGTAAAGGTCGCTTAAAAAAGAATGTCAGTTAATTATATTGAACATATATATATAACTCAACTACCCATCCAACCGGGGAAAACTCCATCAGTTACTTTCTTTATCCCTAATATCATGTTTTATCTTTCTTTCTTTACAGTTTCTTATGTTCTTATTTACGCTACAACTGCAAAGTAATACATATATTATCAGCAAAGCTTGTTAAGTACTATAGTACTTGTTTCCCAATCATCAGAATGAAATGTCTATGTAATTGTATATGTTAATTGACATGAATAAATATGGTTTAAACTAGAATATATATATACCAGTCCTCCATAACCGTCACACTCGTCAAAACTCTGACGCAGCTGTTGCGAAGGCGTCAACTTCAAACCAAGCTAACGTCACTGACCTTAACCCCTCATGACCAGTTTGGACTCAGTTGACCCTGGTTTATGTGCATTTGTCTTCCACAGTCGGACAACAATACGCTGCCTTCTATAGAAACTCGGAGAGCCAGCCGGCCGTGGCTGCACCACTCAATACCACTGGTGATTGTTTACCTTTTGGAGTGGTTAAATTGCATGTCCTATATTTGTTTGATATACCCGGGCTTTTGCATTTACATCAATAACAAAGAGCGTATTTATCAAAATGTATCCTGACATGGTTTTAACGTTGTAATCAATAATGTCTTTTAAGCAAAAAAAAATGTATTATTTTAAAAATAAATAGTTTTGAAATTTATGAAATTTGTTAAGAATGTTCCAGGGATTTGGAGCAACCTAAAAATGTGTCCTCACTAAGAAGAACTTCCAACTCTACCTTTATAGAAAATAAGACATGAATATAATTTTTATGTTATTTCTGGTAGTCCTTTTTTTTTTCGTGTACTCCGGTGATCCTCCAACAACAACATCTTGAATGACCATAGCTGTTAGGACGTAAATCACACACAAACCAAAACCAAACCTTTGTTATTTTTGTTATGTTTTAAACAAAAGTTGTCACTACAACGTATTCCATATCTCTTGTCTACATATGCGCTAACCTGCTACATGTTCTGTACTAATTAGTGTTTGACTGTTGGAATGGCTGTTACTTAAGCATTGTTCAATTCAAATAATGAGATGTTTGTTGAAACGGACGTTCTGACTTATGTTTGTTTTATAGATTGTTATAGTATTTTTGTTGAGAAGTGACAGTTCTCTAAGATATCGTAGTTACCATGCTCCTGTTTGTGACATGCTCATCTGCTATCTATTGAACGTTTGACTTTGCCCCATTTTAACATTAATAATCCAGATAAAAGTAAACGTTTTGATGAACACGATTCTTGTTCTGGTTGTGAGTGTTTCCCTGTCAAATATATTGGAAAGAACTAAACTAAATGTTAAACCCATGTAAAACGAAACATATAATCGAAAGATTTATAAATTATTTTATTTTGACGTTAAGCAGAACACTAAACAGTCAGTAATATGATCTAAAACCAAAAGATCATCAATTTGACGAAAACTTAACAGCCGTCAAAATGTTTAGGAAAAGAGCTACGTAAAATTGTAATCTCCTTGTTTGGGTATTGTCCCATTTTGGCTGTCTCGCTATAGCTTTTTAGGTCACCTGAGCTTTGCCGTCGTCGTGCGTCGTGCGTAAACTTTTTACATTTTCAACTTCTTCTCAAGAACCAGTGGATGGATTGTTTTCAAACTTGGTCAGAATCATCCTTGGTAGATGAGGTTACAAAATCGTCAAATTGGGATTCCTACCCAACCCCTGGGGCCAGGGCTGGGCCACAAAAGGAAAATTTACCAATATTTCAAAAATCTTCTTCTCCATACTAAGAGGTATTACAGTCATTTTCTCTGCATGGAAAGAATGATCATCAGGGGCTTTATTTAAATTGTAAATTTCAGGACCCCCGAGCCATCCGTTCTCCCTGTGGGAGGGGTACAGTTTACTATAGTTTATATAGGGAAATAACACTTTTGGGTATATTTTATCCATTTTCAACAGAAAATTACTCAAACTTAATCAGAATCATCTTTGGTGAATGAGGGTATTACATTGTAAAGTTGGAATTCCTGCCCCATCCCCAGGGGTTAGAGCGGGGCCCTAAAGGGAACATTTACCAATATTTTCAAATTCTTATCCTTTAATGACATGACAAGTATTGTATTTCACTTAGTTTACATGCTGATTTCCACATCACATCTAAACAAGAAAATAAACCTATGAGTACCTATGATATAACCCAGGTGACCGATAAGGCCCTTGGGTCTCTTGTTTATATTGCCCTAAAACCAAGTGAAACGTGAGGTATAATAGATAGAGAAACACAAACCAGTGTCCAGACCCATGTCTAATCCGTTGCGTGCAGACTCTTATTTTTGTCACACTTAGCGATGGTTATCTATGACGGTATATGTATATTGTGTATTAGCGTATAGGTTATTGTTATCTTATACAAAAACTACAACTGTTCTTACGTGATTACTTCATGATTATAAAATGTTCACTTTGTTTCCCGTAAAACAGAAATAGCTAAAATAAAGGCTTACAGTAAAGGATTTTAACGTAAATATACAGTACTACAAAAATGACACAAAAACATCGGTATTCGTTCGATTCCAGATTATTTATTTGATTAGTGGGTTATAACCATGATCATTATGCCATTTATAAATTATTCATAAAAAAATACGCTATATCAATAATTTTATACAGTATTTTTTTTAAAATATATTTTACTGCAACCAGCATGACGATTACACTCGAACCATTGGGTAAGTTAAATGTTTAATTGCTACCAAGGACTTCAACTTATACTGTACGCCAAAAATGTACAAAAAACACACTCACAGTCCGTAAATGTTTTGCACCAAACAATAGCAAATACAAAAAAACTTCCAAAAAAAGCCGGAGATGAAAACCCTTGTGCACACGATGGATATTTTCCTTTACCACATACATGTATGTCGCCAGTTTGACACTTTCTGATGAGCATTTGCTTATTTATTATATCTATATAAGGAAGCTGGTTACACGGAAATGTACTGGTATTTAGAAAGAAACATGACCTGACATAGTTTTTCTTGCCGATGGATGAAACACGGAAATATGAAAATATTATTAAAGGTTTTTTTCAAACTATTAAATCGTGATGTTACTCTTTCCCGTCGTGAACAAAATTGGTTGACTTCACATATAGACTGGTTCATTAATCGATTTAAGTTAAAGTCTGTATCAAACTGAATACTCTTACATACTCAAAACAAAAACCAAAAAATATAAGACATCATCTTGTTTGAGTTGATCGTAACTTGGAACAAGTAAACTTCAAACAGTATTGTTGTACAAACGCCATTATAAGCATTGTTCGTTCGGTATAAGACTACCATGGATGAACATTGCCGACCTACAGGATTGCCCTCCGCCTACTGGCGGTCGTTCTTTCCATTTGTTGAGACACTTCTGATTTCCTTTAAAAAACCCACCAAAAATAACAACAACCTTGCATCTTCTTTTCGGAATACCAAGGGGGCAGTTCACTTCGAACGTCATTCTGATTCCACCAGCTATTTCGGATTTGCATCAACATTGTTAATGATGTGAAAAATGCACGAACCTTGTCTGGACAAAGCACTATAAATGTACGTATTTGTTATAGAATGATAAGGGTCATTAGCCAGTTCTCCTGAGTGCCAGACAACATAAAGGCTATGATTTTATTGTGTTTGACAGTTTTGGGAAAGTCCAAGCTGGTGTTATTAATTTCCGGCTGGGTCAATAATTGTATCTGATAGCTGTAACATTCAATGACGAAGCAATTCTATTGCGATATTAATGCGTCACAACATTCAATGACGTAACAAATATATTGCGATATTGATTCGTCACAACATTCAATGACGTAACAAATGTATTGCAATATTGATGCGTCACAACATTCAATGACGTGACAATTATATTGCGATATTTATGCGTCACATCATTCAATGCCGTAACAATTATATTGCGATATTCATGCGTCACATCATTCAATGCCGTAACAATTATATTGCGATATTGATGCGTCACAACATTCAAAGACGTAACAAATATATTGTTATATTTATGCGTCACATCATTCAATGACTATAATTAAATTTCACATAACTTCAACAATTATTTTGTATGCTTAGATAAAAATATAATTTGATATTTAATTTGTTTGTAAGGGATTGATCAATTCTTTCTATTTCTTGTTCTTGATCGATTTAAAAGTTGACCATAAGACTGCGGTAATTCATTTTACAGACACTGTATGCATCACCAAAGTATTTCTGTCTTCAAATTACCAGTTATGAAGAAACTCACATTACTTTGTTGGTCGATGTCCTGGATGAACTCAACACCAGACGAGACATTTGTTATAGTCTACGTGATCTTGAAAAACCATCGATGCATTACTAATACACGTCAAGTGTCAAAAAACTCCCCTACACTTATCGCGTCTAAATTGCCTTTCAATTGCTATTACATAGAGTAAAAAACATATTTTGCACTAATCGGATCTTGTACTTCATATATATAAGGAAGAATATAAGTACTTGCGGGTGACGATCCCGGCGGATTCGGAAAATGAAATTCGTCTAAAAAATTATATTGGATCCCATACTAAATACAGTTGCCTGAGAACTAGAGACGGCGCTCTATCAGGACTCCCGACACATCGCCAGACAAAGCTCTTCAGAGGTCGGACCCAATATGGTATATTAGCTTTATCGATGATACAGTGTATATATGAAGATAATTTGATTTCACGAGATGTTTCCTCGGGGACGCCTTGCAATGTGTTTCCACTGTAAGGTATTGGATGCGTCCTATGGGATACGTCGTGCAGTATTATGTTTTAAAATATTGGCATATTTGGGTAACACTAGGGATAATCGTAAATGTCACTTGTAAATGAGCTGTTTGATTTATTATAACGTGGCGTTCGGTTTTTGGCTTGTTTTCAATATTAAAATTACAAAATGGGAAAAAACAAGCGAAATAAGTATACAAAATAACACAGTGTCTGTCTTTGTTCTCAATATCAATATCCCGACTACAAAATAGATAAAACGTGATCGAAAGCGTTATTGGGCATTATCTGATTATATGTTGATGGACACCTATATTACAATTTCGGGATCGTCGACAGAGAAGAAATCGTTCAACTCATAACACTAAGTGGAATTGGTAAGGGAAAATGCCCGTACAACGTCCTACGCTTTCACGATATTAATAGGGCTTTTACAGTGTATTTACTTTGGTCAATAACACTTATTCCTTCTAGTAACAGTCTTTTATGGCCAAATGTGGTCCATGCGGAAATCAATTCACATTTAAGCGTAGATTTGAATTAAGTTTTATGTATTTTGTAGTATCTATACAAATCTACAATGGCGTCCCCTTATTGAATAAAATGTTAAAAAAAAAATATGTTCCTCATCGTCAATTCACAAGACAAAATCCGAACTGAAAGAGCTTAGAACAGGAACTGCAGAGACAACAAAACTAAGGAGATAGTTTGTTAATCCCCAAACACAACCAGGGACCCGAGAAAGATAAGCATTTTTCGCACATGTTGCATCCGTCATAACCAGGCATGCGCAGTGATATTCGACTTAGAGAGATTAACTCTTATTCAAAATTAAACGCTTATAATATCTTAGGTAGACATTAACTCACATGTCGTCACAAAGGTCCTGGGATATTTGTGGATATATTAGTTCGATTTATAAAACAATGAGAGCGTCATTAATCATATTTTTTGTCAATTGTTTGGTTGCGGCCGTTATATTCGTTATTAGAAAATTAAAGCACAAATTAACCATCAAACAATTAACTTATATTTCTTTCCAAATCTTTTAACAATTGAAAATGTGTTCGAATATCGTTTCATTATAAAGCTAAATTGTTCTTAAATGAAGATGTCTTTTTCAGTCTAGGAACTAATGAAAATGCGTTAAAACTTCTGTTGTTGTTTTAAAATTTGAAGCTCCGATCTTACTACTTTCCTGCGATAGTAACTGACTTTGTAAATCATTAATGATAGGAACGACATTTACATCAATAGAGTCAGAAAAGTCTAAAATGTTATTAGGAAAAATGAATACACTGCCCTGGTCCTTAATGATAGATACCCCTGACTGAAATGTGAGATTCATGGATTATCGGAAGCGGTATTCACAGTGACAAAGGCCTATGGACAAAAAGCCATCAATGGTTGCTGACATAATATAAATGTCTTAAAATATCTTTCCCTTTAATGTTAATGTCGCCATTCACTCGTAAAATGGTTGTCCGTGTAAAATGGACGACGAAATGTGACATATCATCGTGTTTTTATGATTTGTAACCGCAATTTGCCTTATGTGTGGACTATACTTGATGGCTGACAGACCCTTTCACTTTATTAGTTTACGGTCAGATCGATCTCTGTCGACGTCAGAGGTTAACGGTCAATGGAGATTGGTTGACCGATCGCCACTGGTGTGAAGGAGATTATGGTGTCTGTATATACTTCATACTTAGTGTCATTCTCAACCAAGTAACACATCCTGGTCATGTTGGTATCTTAACGCTTTTATGTATTGTCAACATGTCATAGGGGTCCCGCATTCTGAGGTGGCCTATTAGCAATCATCCTGGCCTTCGGTCCGTCAAATTTCCATTTCCGTGCGATAACTTGCTTAAATATTATCCGAAATCCACTCATATTTGATTAACATACTACGATCTGATTGGTCGACGGTTTTTGCGCATTAACGTAAACAAATGCGACCAGATTATTGTGGCTCTGGGTCAAAGTTTCTGTTGGTAACAACGAAGACGAAGGTCAAAGTTTTTAGTGGTAAAATACGAAGACGAAATACGAATTTCGGTTATATATTGTATGTAGTTATATGACTCAAAACGGAACACATACAAAGAGGCGAGCCCTTCAATCCAGGACAGTAAGTTCATTCAATATAGAAGTAGCCATGTCTGCTGAGTAGCCAGCATTACTGTTAACGGTGGCAGTTATATATCGTTCTCTCTCGAGGGAAATAATTGTTTATATGTCGATATATATAGACATATAAACAATTATTTCCCTCGAGAGAGAAATGTACTGCTATGTTATCTTGCGAGGAGCTCTATCGCGAATTTAAATATTTCTCCGACAGTTAATAAATCCAAAATAAAACAAGGAGCATACAGCTTCTCTTCCTTGTTTTGTCGTGAACTTGAATCCTTGCATGGAGAGTGTAAAAGCCGTCTCAAAAACTAATTGATTTGCAGCATGACCTGAAGGGTACGCGACACGACTCACCGATACGTCATAGCCCGTATGTAAATCACCTGCCGACAATCACACGAGATAAGAAAGGTCTTCCTCTTTTGTACCCTGTAGCCTCCAGCTTGTGTCTTTGGAAGTATCTATCGCGATAAACGTATCGTCATTCACCATCTGTAGTACGGGATTGGTCTTCAGAAATGTAATTTACTGTAATTGAATTCTGTCTGTATCTGGTCATCACTCTTTCATCATTGACCATTTGAGATTTTACCTCCCAATAATGGTAGAGGCGATAGTCTAATGGATCAAAAATGAGACGGAATTATTTCTAAATGGCGTCGTCGAAAGCCATGCCGTCCTTTAGTCCACGTTGAGTTGCAGCTGACTGGAGACTCAAGCCGATGTTGGAGTAATTGATTGCCCGCATGATTGATGGCCATTAGTACTTACATCAAACTGAAATAAGACGCGTACATTCTATTACCTAAACAGATGATAGCATCAAAGAGCATTATAAATGTCTTTTACCAAAATATTCTAGTCAAATAACGTATCACATCGATACCATTGATTGTCTTGATGTCCTTTGTTTTCCTACCGTTGAATGCCATACAAAATGGTTGTATTCGTTTACTGCGTTCCGAAATTGTTGACCGGATGGACAAAAGTTGTTCGTTTATGAAATAGGAATGGACCTAGTGCTCTGATGATGTTTTCTGACAGGCCTTGGAAAAAATATTCCCAAGACTTTCATTTGCCTTCTCATGTCTTTCAGATTGTATTCCTGCACTGGTTTGTCCGCATAAATGAACAGGGCCGCGGTGTCATTTGCATGTATTTTTTTTTCTTGAATCCCATTTGAATTCCAAACTATAATGTAACCTGTAAAACAATCTTTTGACCACTCTGTATAATACTGTCATGAGTTGTGATTAATTAACTGTTGGTTAACATGTGTGATGGTCTAATACTTCTGAATTAGAATACATGGAATCTTACTGGACTATTTACAGTATATATCTAGAGTCTAAATCGGCGACTAGTCACACCAGGTTCAGAAAACTCGTCATTTCAGCTTGCTGGAACATATTTCCTCCACAACAATGTAATATCGGAAGGTGACTTGTAATACACAATAAAATTTCCATCAGAAAGTGCATACAGTGAAAATAACAATAGTCACTCTACGTCCAAGCTTTCGGGCGTAGCCCTTTGTCGGGGATTGAATTCAATCCCTGATGGAGGCATAAGTCCGAAAGTGTACTTGACACATCGCCATTTATCGCTTTCTGGCTATATATATTCATTACATGTATGTACTTTGTACTTACAGCGGCTAGTTTGTATTAACCAGAGACTGTCGTATCAGTAGAAAGCTTTACATTATGTCTTATAAACTATTAGTGATGTGTCAATGTTGGCGTTGGCAAAGCCGTGGACATGTCAATCGTTCTTTATTGACATTAGTGCATTTTTTCTCTATATTTTTCTTTATGATACATTGTAAGCAAATACATTAATTTAACACAATTGAGACGCACATTTATTTGTTTCCTTACTGCATATTGGTGAACACACCTATAATATATTTTGCGTGTCAATATGTTCGATTATCAATACATTTGCGTATTTCTTTTTTTGGATGAAAAGTAAAAAAAAATCCTTATCACGGCAATTTCATTGTTTTGTTTTTTCCCCCTTTTTTGTGAACATAAACCAATACAGTAAATGATATTAATGATAAATTTGTCATTTAATCTTATCATTTTTATTTTTCAGGCCAACAGAATTTTAACGATACCGGAGGTAAAAGTACCTTCCATCCCTGGCGGTTTCTCACCATTGTCAGTAAGTATCCAATCAGAACACTCCAGTATTGTCAGATGACAAAAATACGTAGCGATATAACTGCAAACGTGTGTTATTATAAACCTACAGCGCAAGGACAACTTCGTCAACACACAAGGCAAAACAAAACCCTTCCATACTCGAAATTGATAAAAACAGGGAAAGCAGGATGCACCACAGAGACGACAACATAAGCCCAAATGACAATCGGACATGGCGGCCGTGTTGATTACCAGAAATCCATATCCTTTCTGCATTCATGTTCTGCTATTCGTATCTAAATCATTTTCTGTTCTAGACTTTGATATTGATATTTGATATCATTGTGCTTTTTACCCCTTATCACGGTTTGTGCTTTAAAGAGCATGTTTCACGCATATTTGATTACCGAAGTACATTCAAACGTTCTTGGTTTGGCCGTACCCATAGGAACAGATAGACGATGCTATTGTTGACTATTATGGGGACAAACCAATACGTCTTTTAGATGTAACAGTGTTTAGTCCTATATGACCAACCACGCTAGCAGATAGCAGAGATAGTTTTATCTTGCTGTTACGGAGCATTGATGATACGTATACACTGTCCATTATACTGTGACGTGACGGAAAGGGTGTGTTACGTTCTTTGAAATATATGGTTACATATATTGAAGCTTAGATGTATTTTCTGCGCCATTGTTGAACTATATAACTGTCAATTGCCATTCTTCAAGTACATTTCTCTAATGCATCTTGTCAAACGGGACCAGGATATGCAGCAGATTCGATGTCAGCGTGATGTGTAATACATCATAACGATAAAAAGTGCACTGCGTCTCTGCAGCCTCTCCCGTTATTATCGATACTCATCTTGTACTGTATATCTAATCCGTATACTTCGTTCCGTTTTATGTATTGCCTTATATAGGCTGCACATGTCAGTTTCTCGTTGGAGAAGTTACAGCTTGCACATTTCCTTCGGAACAATCTTGTCCTGATCAAATGATTTAGTGATAAATCCCGAGACATACTAGTGGCAGAAGACAGCAGCATTTCTCTGTTTTATCATTATTTCAACAAAAACACTGACAAGAGGAAGAACTAACAGTGACGTCAAAATTACGCATTTTTGTTTCTTAAAGTTAATAACTAGAATGTATGGTATTTATGCATTTTAATGTATCAGTTTGTTGTCAATAAATGTTATATATCTTCAATAACAAACCCAATATTTGAGGTAAGCAATCATATTCATGACAACGTTAATGTTTTAATTGTTGGTTTGCCATCTTTGCCTTGTTGAAAATCAATTTCGGTAGATGAGTTTACGAGTAGCTACTTAGCTAGCATTTAAGCTGACAATAATAGGGTTTGATCAGTTATCGCTATTAAACTTGCGAAATTGGAACTTGAGCCGGGCCAGGGTTGGAACTTTAAGTTCTCATTGCGATGTTAAGTACTGTACGCAAAACACATTAATTTTGTCATGTTATGTGATCTTTTTCGTTAAGCCAGTTTGTAATTCTCAGAAGTGTGTGTTGATATTAAATGCAAGTGATGATAGTCTGGAGACTTTTGACCTGTAGGTACAAACAGATCATTTGCAGAATTTTGACCTCATAGTGTCAGAAACAGGTAGTCGTCTGGAATTTTATCTTTATGTGCAGTTGTCACAAACAGGTAGACGTCTGGAATTTTACCATTATATGCAGTTGTCACAAACAGGTAGTCATCGGAAATTTTACCTTTATGTGCAGTTGTCACAAACAGGTAGTCATCTGTAATTTTACCTTTATGTATAGTTGTCACAAACAGGTAGTCGTCTGGAATTTTACCTTTATGTATAGTTGTCACAAACAGGTAGTCGTCTCGAATTTAAACTTTATGTGCAGTTGTCACAAACAGGTAGTCGTCTGTAATTTTACCTTTATATGCAGTTGTCACATACAGGTAGTCATCGGAAATTTTACCTTTATGTGCAGTTGTCACAAACAGGTAGTTGTCTGTATTTTTACCTTTCTGTATAGTTGTCACAAACAGGTAGTCGTCTGGAATTTTACCTTTATGTACAGTTGTCACACACAGGTACTCATCTGGAATTTTACGTGTATGTTCAGTTGTCACAAACAAGTAGGCTTCAGTAACACGATGTAAAACCGCTTTATTCTCTCTCGATCTTTCTTTAATGGCGTTACGTAACAATGTTTTCGACAGCATCATACATTACGGCATCAAGATTCATGACAATATTGTTTCCTCGACCAAAAAAAAAAGTACAATAGGGGTTAAAAATGCTCCCAAACATATAATAATTGGTTAACTTGTTAATTTAAGTTAACGGATTAATTTTCATATTGTCTTAAAAACCATTGGTATTTACAACTAGTGTTTTGAGTTACACAAACATTATAACAAACCACTAGTATAGGTACATATATATAACTTTGTCTATAATGTTTTGGAGAACAGTTATATAACATTGTCTATAATGTTTGGAGGAATATAAGCATTGGCTATGAGTATTGAGGAACGTCTATATAACTTTGTCTATAATGTTTTGGGGAACGTCTATATAACATTGTCTATACTGTTTGGGTAGCATCTATATAACATTGTCTATAATGTTTTTGGGAACATGTATATATTATTGTCTATAATGTATGGGGAACATCTATATAACATTGTCTATAATATTTGGGGAACATCTATATAACATTGTCTATAATGTTTGGGGAACATGTATATAATATTGTCTATAATGTTTGGGGAACATCTATATAATATTGTCTATAATGTTTGGGGAACATCTATATAACGTTGTCTTTAATGTTTTGGGGAACATCTATATAACGTTGTCTTTAATGTTTTGGGGAACATGTATATAACATTGTCTATAATATTTGGGGAACATCTATATAACATTGTCTATAATGTTTGGGGAACATCTATATAACATTGTCTATAATATTAGGGGAACATCTATATAACATTGTCTATAATGTTTGGGGAACATGTATATAACATTGTCTATAATGTTGTTGGGAACATGTATAATAAATTATAACATTGTCTATAATGTTTGGGGAACATCTATATAACATTGTCTATAATGTTTTGGGGAACGTCTATATAACATTGTCTATAATGTTTGGGTAGCATCTATATAACATTGTCTATAATGTTTTTGGGAACATGTATAATAAATTATAACATTGTCTATAATGTTTGGGGAACATCTATATAACATTGTCTATAATATTTGGGGAACATCTATATAACATTGTCCATAATGTTTCGGTAACATCTATATAACATTGTCTATAATGTTTTGGGGAACATGTATATAATATTGTATTTAATGTTTTGGGGAACGTCTATATAACATTGTATTTAATATTTTGGGAACATGTATATAACATTGTTTTTAATATTTTTTGAAACATGTATATAACATTGTCTATAATGTTTTGGGGCACATGTATATAATATTGTATTTAATGTTTTGGGGAACGTCTATATAACATTGTCTTTAATGTTTGGGTAGCATCTATATAACATTGTCTATAATGTTTTGGGGAACGTCTATATAACATTGTCTATAATGTTTGGGCAACATCTATATAACATTGTCTATAATGTTTGGGGGACATGTATATAACATTGTCTATAATGTTTTGGGGCACATGTATATAATATTGTATTTAATGTTTTGGGGAACGTCTATATAACATTGTATTTAATATTTTGGGAACATGTATATAACATTGTTTTTAATATTTTTTGAAACATGTATATAACATTGTCTATAATGTTTTGGGGCACATGTATATAATATTGTATTTAATGTTTTGGGGAACGTCTATATAACATTGTCTTTAATGTTTGGGTAGCATCTATATAACATTGTCTATAATGTTTTGGGGCACATGTATATAATATTGTATTTAATGTTTTGGGGAACGTCTATATAACATTGTATTTAATATTTTGGGAACATGTATATAACATTGTTTTTAATATTTTTTGAAACATGTATATAACATTGTCTATAATGTTTGGGAAACATCTATATAATATTGTCTATAATGTTTGGGTAACATCTATATAACCTTCTCTATAATGTTTTTGGGAACATGTATATAATATTGTATTTAATGTTTTGGGGAACGTCTATATAACATTGTATTTAATATTTTGGGAACATGTATATAACATTGTTTTTAATATTTTTTGAAACATGTATATAACATTGTCTATAATGTTTGGGTAGCATCTATATAACATTGTCTATAATGTTTTTGGGAACATGTATAATAAATTATAACATTGTCTATAATGTTTGGGGAACATGTATATAACATTGTCTATAATGTTTGGGGAACATCTATATAACATTGTCTATAATGTTTTGGGGAACATGTATATAAACTTGTCTATAATGTTTCGGTAACATCTATATAACATTGTCTATAATGTTTGGGTAACATCTATATAACATTGTCTATAATGTTTTGGGGAACATGTATATAATATTGTATTTAATGTTTTGGGGAACGTCTATATAACATTGTATTTAATATTTTGGGAACATGTATATAACATTGTTTTTAATATTTTTGGAAACATGTATATAACATTGTCTATAATGTTTGGATGAATATAAACATTGACTATGAGTTTTTCAGGGAACGTCTATATAACTTTGTCTATAATGTTTTGGAAAACAACTATATAACCTATTATATAACGTTTGGGGTAACGTCTGTAAAACTTCGTCTATAATGTTTTGATATTTCTCTCCACAGAGGTCGTCGTAATCAATGTTTTCCTGTTTATCATTGCTGTTTCGCTGGTAATAGCAATCGTCTACGTTTGTTACAGGTAAGCTCACTGTGGTTTTACTCGATTTTTTAATTTCAAATATCAGTTATAAATTAACGGTGTTATTTATGTTGAACTGAGAGTAATAGAACAAACAAATATGTTAAAGGAAAGCAAGTAAACAAAACCACTGCGACAACAGAAAAGGGCAAAATTTTTAATTTGAAAAATATACGTTGGTAGCGTGACACAGTGGAGAGCGCAGTTGCCTTTCACCAAGACGTTCGAGGTTCGATTCCCCGATCGGACATGAACAGATATAAGGCCACCTGCACGACTCCGGTTTCATCTGACATTAAGACAATATGGTACTCTTCCATCCGCGCCAGCAAGAGTGATTAATATAATTTCAAAATTTTGTTTCATAATTGGTGTAAAATATATCAAACTTATATCATATATATACGGAAAGATAATAACGGAAACTGGGGAGAAATGAAAAAGAAAAAGATATTATGAACCCCCTCCGATACACTTGACGAGTATCGTCTGTACCATATGTAGCACGCGTCATGATGTCGCCCGTCAAATTTATCAGCGTAAATTGATTCCTCGTAGGTAGAAAACATCGGCTATGTAGTTTATAGGTCACCTTGGTACTTCTATCCAGAAAATGCTGATACATGTACTAATAACCGGCCCTGGGTATCAAAATAACCGTGATATCTAAGATCTATAAAACAAACAGGAAAGGTATGTTACTTCTGAGGAAAAGAAATTATACCATCGCAAAATAGTTAATCGCTACATTTGTCATTGAATTTGGTAGTTAGATACTATTGTAAAGATTTTATCTAATATTAACATTTTCATTTGAGGTAAAACAAAAATGGCTGAGAAGTATTCACGGGTCACGACTATCAATAAAAGTTTTGTACTTTTAACAGGTTTGGCTAATATCGAATCAACTAAGAGTCCAATGTTGTGTATTGTTTCACGATCGCTAACTTTCTTTTCCTTGGTAGTGACATACCACCCTTACTAGCTTACAGAGGTTACATTTTACAGTTGAAGTTAATCGCTTCGCCAGAGTTTGATATGATAATCACTAGAAATACGAAGATAAAACATTTTGTTTGTTGGTACAGAAAGTCAGACAAAGTGAATATCTATTGTACCAATAGTTAGTATTATCTTTAGATCTGTATACTCCATTTTGACCAATAAACTTCTAGGCTAGGAAAAACTACAGGATACAGTAACAGTTTATGTATTGAAGACCATATTTGGCATTCCTAACACCAGCGACATGGACGTAAAGAGATTCGTTTACTCGACCATATTACATGTTGAGCTTGAACGCTGTATAAAACCATTGGTGGTACCGGCAGTTGGTTTTCCAATGTTGTTGCATGCTGACCAGTCTGTGTTAAATGGTGCCATGGTAACGACCTATGTGGCCACTAACGAGACCGTACGGCACTTAACTCATTTTACATCCGTTTAGGCCATTCTAAGAAAGAAAACAAATTCGAATTTTGTGCTAATTCCGATTGTCTGATCGTTAGCAAATGACGTTGTTTCACAAAATCGTATTGCTTGTTGTATTTTCTTTTATAGAAACATAAGCAGAAAATCTATAGGGCATTTTTTTTAAATGTTGTAAGCAAGGCGCGTACCGACCGCATGAATATTTATGCCTGGCAACTGTGGCGCCATATTGGTTTGTCATCGGGGCGCCCGGAGGTTTGGAGTAGATCTCTCCGAGGCGAAGCACAGACACATGTAGCATTCGGTAGGCCAAGCCAACAGATTTCTGCGAAAACCCGTAGTTGTAATGTTTTTTAATTCGATGAAAATACTATAGCTTTACTTAATCGTTTTGTTCAAATGTAAAGCGTACTTTCAGTATTGATGGGATTTTTACACAATGTATTTAAAACTGTAAAGGAGGTAAATTGATTCAAAATAAAAAAATAAAATAAAAATTAAAACTAATGAACCTAAATACTGTCGCTAAATACTTTTCCAGCAATTCACACAATTAAAGATATTTCTCAGCAAATATTTGGCAACGTTTAGCTATTAGACAGTTATAAAGCATTACAGTTGTTTTCTCAAGTTTCAAATATGTTCAAAACGTTTCATATAAAATAACAAGTGAAATGCAATTTAAATAAAAACGCATTTAGTGCGAGTCGTGTTATACATTGTGATATCTTGTACATATGTATGTCTACTCTCCGATGTGTTGTAAACATAAGGAAATAAAGAATCCGAATCTGAATCAGAGAATGATCATCCCTCTATACACCGTCTTTCCGAGATGAGATTTTGAAGGATGTCAAGGCCTTAATAGGGTTCCTTCATAATTGCATTATGTGTGCATTACTTGTCATTCTCATAAAGTTGGCGATTATTAAGATATCTTGAAAATTATAATTAAATATAAGAAATATCAGCGAAAAATAAGGATATTTCGTAGAGACGCGCTGTTCAACAAACACATTATATGTCTTTGCCTAACGAGAAAAAAAAACTTTCACAGATTGCATAAACAACATAAAGTGCCTGTGGATAAAGGATAAATCGAAGCATTGTAAATAACATTTTAATTACCCGTCAACTTTTGGAGACATTCTGAAGTAGGTATTAAACACATTTGGTGTGCGTTTCGTCTTTGATGCCACAAGCGACTGCCGAGGTCGCTGATTTATCACCCCTCGGGCGACAACAATACTCGCATTGGGAGGTAGGCAAAACGTGTTGTGGGGAGGTGTCGCGATATATGACATGATACAAAACCTTCGATCGTTTTAAAACTGCTGTTTATGACTAACGCTGTATTAAGGTGTGATAAGAAAGGAGGCAAAGTGTGCCTTTTCGATATATATATATGTTTCCGGCCAATACATATTCATAAACTTCGTGCTCTTGCCACAAGGAAATATGATCAAAATATGAAAACAAAAACAAAATTGTGCTGTAAAGAGGCAGACTTCTTAGATTGCTAACCTATTCATTGTACATAAGAGAATATAAACAAATCGGACCATACAGAATATAGTTATTGTGTATCGACACAATAGGATTGTTCCCAGTTACAAAACTGATTTTGGTATACATTAATTATTTTTAAACGTACATATTTAAGCCGTAGTTTCATTTCAGCGTCTTTCGCTCTTCAACTGTTGCGCTAAATTATAAATGCGGCATTTAAGTTTTCGTATATAGGTCTCTGTTGCATATTTCGGGGTGCGCCAATTCATCCATGCGGTTATCTATTAAAATTCGATAAAGCGATTAAACTTGAGTGCGCTAAAATAGGTATGTTTATAGTAGTGCTTTAGTAAATTAGTTTTACATAAATAGCAAAATATATCAAATGTAAATTTAAACAAGCAGACAGCGGTAAAACGTTAGAGAAATCATTAGATTTTTTAAATAAGAAAGAATTAGTTGATAGCCGATTAGAATTTGTCCGAATATATTTGAAATTCACAAAATTAAGCGTTGACGTTACGAGACAAAAACAAAGTAATTAAATTTTCGCTTACTGTCCTTTACACATTTGAACTCTTCCAATTCAAATGTTGGAATAGTTCATCATACGATTTCAGGGGTAAATGAGTTAAATGACCGGTAAAACCTTTGTCAATATAATGTGACCGGGTGAATGTAACGCTACCATGTCCAGAGTATGACATTTCAGTGAGATAGACATTGAGTGGTCCTAAAATCCGTTTACACTGTCTTCGTGTGACATTGGCTGTTGCGAGAACGTTGCACCTCCCACAAACCAAACAAACTATACTGTAAAGTTTGCGTTGTGACTCTTTAAACTAATCGCTGTATAGAAAGTGTTGCTTCGGTATGTCTATATATTATACGTTGTTAATTTGTATCATCTCTAATGAAATAATCGCGTGTTGCCATTTTTGCACAAATTTCGTTACAGCGTTAATCGCAATAATTTCCATACCGCGTAAATACGTACATAATTGCAGTATTTCAATAAGATATTGTCTGTTCCTGACAATGACGTATCCTGTCCATGACTAAAAGCTCATGTTGTCTTTGTCCACAGGTACAAGCAAGTTGACAAGGCGGGTCGATACAACCTGGCTCCTCAGTCAGACACTGACTCGGGACGGCGGACCACGACCGACACCCCGCTACAGACTTTCTCCGAGGACTTGGGAATAACTCCTCCACGCGGAAGCTCAATGCATTCTTTCACACGTGATCAGTCCCAAGTGTACGCTTCACTTGCGGAGGATCCCTACGCGACTGTTGGAGATGATCCGGACTACCCAACAAGTAGTTATAGTAACTCAAATCAGCAGTCACGTGACAACCAAATGTCTAGCTTCCGGCCAAAACCTTCGAACCCTTATGCATCTTACGATAGTTTGGACTATGACGTTCCTGCAGAAATTCATGAAAGGAGTTCCTCAAATCATGTTCAGAATCCGTATATGAACGGCGTAGCCACACATAGTGCGCATAACAGCCCTGTGCACTTACAGCAAAGCCCATACCATACTCCTGATCATATGGCTCAAACGTACCAGAACCCGGAAGAAGAGTTTCCGCCGCCACCAGAGAACCTGCAAAACTTTGACGCCACAGCCCATGGGGGACCGGTGCAGCATTACACAATAAATGATGACGATTACGCAATTGTACAAAAACCTAAGAAAATGACTTCAAGTAATCCCGTCAATGCTCGGTCGTCCCCGAGTAATCATTCACAACAATGTGCCTCTCCAAGCCACTTCACGCGCGGTGACGTAGGTTACCACCTTCCACAGCATGACTGCATGCTCACCTGTAACGTACCGCCCTTTAGTCCTCCGCACAGACAGAATGGGACCACGCCCAATCACGACAGGGCAAACAGTGGCCCTACCGCCTGGGAGGACGGATTCTACTAGTGACGTCATTTATTGTGTTTATATGTAGACGTGCAATATGTATATGTGTGTTTGGATGTGTGTGCCCGATATAAAAGCAACCGAAATACTCCAGCAAGACTCAACATCCTTCACGACTGAAAATGGCAGTCTTCATTATGACGAAAGTTTGAAGATCCCAGTTTTTGTTTCTGGTTGCATGTCTTCTTTGTGACTATAGGCTGGAGTCTGATAGTCTAGATCATCTACTGATAGGCACATATGTATTGTATGCATAACATGGAAACGTCATTGTGAACGATTTAACCATCCTTGCAATGGACTATTTTATGAAGCACAAGAGTCTATCCACATAGGATTGTCTAACACCATTTCATTTGTTTATCTAACCAGGTAGTTATGTAAATGAGGTTCATATTCAATGTTACAATAAGATGAAACTAAGCATTAAACAAGGGCATTTAATATATCAGTTTAATTTACAGGAATATATTATACAGTAGTGTAACTTATTGGAGTACAATATGCGGGAGTATGATCAGTGAGATACTTCCATACCATTTGCATACAGTCAAACCTGTTCGTGCGACCACCTTTATTAAGAGACCACCAATGATAGCCTTTGCAGTGATTTCAATGTGAAGTGAACCTGAATTAAGAACCCTTGTTAAGATACCACTGATTGGACTTCGTGCAGTTGTTCTCTTAATACAGATTTTACTGTATAAACATTTAGTTTATAAGGATAACGATAACCTTTTATTCTATTGATATGAACTTTCTGTTTTTACATTTTTTTTCTTCTTTGGTTTATATGGTCTTATGGTATATACGTTTGGTAAGTGTTGGTAAAGATTGAAGTCAAAAACCAAGTAAATGACAAGTCTTAGTTTAAACATGTTTTATTGCCATAAGTATGCATAAGTAAAGGGATTGGGCACAAGTTACCTTAACACTATGGGCGCCCGTTATTTACGTCTTTTACAATATATCTACAGTAAAAATTAGTCACGAATGTGCGTATATAATGGTAGAATGTATAAGAGGATAATGCTCACATATGTCATCTTAATATACAAATATAATTTTATTATATCTATTCTACCACGTCAGATGCAACGAAAAGCATTTTTTGCCTGACGAAACAGGCACTGTAACCTTCGAAATAGGGGATTAGTTTTGAAATATTATTACGCGTGTATGTATTGTTTTAGTGAGTTCTTGGTCAAATAACCCATGCTTATTGACCAATGAAAACGTTGCTACAAAAGATTCAATGAGTTTTTTTGTGGTTTTTTTTTAATATTTTGATGACGTCATCAGATGCCAAGCAATGACATGCATTTACATTGTATACTGTGTGTCGATACAGTCACATTTCTTAAATTACACTAGTGGTGTAATGACGAATAATCGGCCTTGTTACATGATTAGGATGTATCACTCACTCTGATTGGCTGATTTGCACATTTGAAATTTTGTTGCGACGTTATAGTGACTCCATTCCTTGGTTAACAATCCTTTGTTACGATAGTATCAGACTCAAGTATTAAAAGTATGATGAATCATATTAATAATGTATGGGTATATATGCAACGAATGTCAATATAACTAAACATGGCTCATAAATGTCGAATATTGAAAGTTAAATAAGTGCAAACATCTTTAACAATTGTACATTAAAAGATATTTTCAAGAAAACTAGAGTATACTTGCATCACCCGCTGGTGTGTAAAAGCACTGTACCTTCACTTATTAAGTGGAGCCATGTATCATTATTTACAAAATCAAACCTCTAGCTTCATATATAAAGCTATTACATTTATTTTGACATGGAAGACCGATTTACACACCAAAGGTTGCCCAAAATAAAACTAAGACATCAATGTTGTCTCCCACCTCTGTACTTTGAATCACTAATGTAAGATCAATGCATAAAGTATCTCTATGGTCGTCGATTGTAGATATTGTTTTCCAATGAATTAATTTTCAGATTTGTAAAAACAGACAAAATTAAGATAATAACATTTAACCGGTTTAATAATTGTGTTACGATGTCTTATTTTTGCTAATAAGGGCATATAATATACTGGTTTTTATTTGCTATAGTTTGCTATATTATATATCTAATTAATCAAAATTTGATTAGTAATGAAATGTGTTGTATACGGAAATAATCAAAGGAAGTAATGGCGTATAAATTTATCATTTAAAACTGCCAAAACGAAATGCAACGTTTACGATTTATTCAAGATAGATTCAAAGACTGTTACAAATTATTGTATTTGATATTTCGACTTGTACAAAATATATATAATGTAACAAACTATTAATAATTCAGTTAAGTAGACCATTGTTGTATATTTAATGATTATGAAGTTGTATTAAAAATATTTGGCTTTATCATAGAAAATATTTATAAATTGGTATGAAAACTTATGAAATTACAAAATGTCTAACGGACTATTTACATTCTAATATAGATATATATATTTTCAATTTATTTATAAGTATACTAAGTCTATTTTCTTTAAGATCCAACGAACGTTTAATGTCTATTTTCTTTGTGTCATAAACATACATGTACCTTGTTGTAGGGGAAATAACTCTAATTATTTCAGTTCAATAATGAAATTTTTCTAGTAAGATATTTGTTTGGACTGAAATCATGCTAACTTTAAATAAAAAATAGCATTGGCCACTTTCAGTATTTATAATTTTATGCCGATGTACACTTGATGATTTTGTTAAAAGCCAGCATTTCAATTTAGCCATCTCATTTAGCCATATTTGTTCATGTTGTATAAGATGTATTTTGGTATTTTTTCTCTTGTTTTGACGGCATATTCAAGAAAAATATCAAATTGCAATACACTGATATTAATTTTTGTTTTTATAATGTCCTGTATTTTATCGTTTTTCATGAGAATTCATGATAATGCATGAACAGCGAGAATGAGTCTGTGAGTGAACGATCCAGGTGTTTGTGTTTGGACTGACCGTGGTCTTTGGAACGTTTTATGATGAAATTTATCATGACAATATTCTGCTTAGGTTTCGAGTTAATTCAGAGTGGATCCCGGATTTACAGGTTTGCTTGTGTTATTACCAAAGGTGTGAAAGAAATAAAAATATGTGTCATTCATTACGTATTTGTTTGTTACTGTTGATAATTTATTTCATATAATGTAAACAATTAATAACTAAAGTCAGGGCTACAGTTGTATTAAGACCAGATGTGGCATTAACTGAATGTGACTTCGGAAGAATTCAAAAAAATGTTTTGATCAAACTAGAACATCCTTTCCTCAAAAATGTTTCTTTTATCAAATCTTTTGACTTTCCACTCCTACATTACTATTTCTCATATCAAACTGAAGGAACGCCCGCCATCTTTTAATATGAGAGCTATTTTCCACGAAATGCAATAAAAATGTGGTTGCCAACTGTTTTGGAAAAAAGTCCGTCATGAAATATACTGAAGATGAAATTGTAAAAATGATTGAGTTCTTAAAACTTTCACAAGATCATATTGTTCACTCAGAAACACATAAGTGTGTAACAAGAGGTCACATATAATCAGCATTTTCTACACATGACTAAGCAAAATAACAGCACTAAACTTATGATTTACATGAATTATTACAATTTAATCTATACATTTAGGATTTTATTCTGCAAACCTACTAACATGAGATAGAACACGAACATTACACACAGAAATTATACCTTACACCTTTGTCAGACTAGGATATGCATAGTAACACTCTGAAATGTATAATTGTCGAATTTATCATACTTATTCACGCTACAAATAAATAAAAAACAGTAGTAATACTCGTCGCAAATACCTTTCAGGTTGATCATATGTCTATTGAGTTCTATAGCACTACGTTCCAGTAACCTGAAGGCATTTCCTTAAGGGACAAACTATGACCCTCTTCTGGTCGACTTATTCTTGTTTTCATACGAGGCTGAACTTATTGATTACCTTATCAGAATTGGTAACAAAAACAAAGCCAATGTCTTCAAATTCATTTTCATGCATACCGACGGTGTGTTTTATTTAACACAATGATACTGTACCAATACGTTTGGTTTAGTATTGTTTAACGTCCTATCAACAACTATGTCAACTTCTGATGGGCAAACTCAAAAACACAGAGTTTCTAGAGTTTCAGATAGATGAAGACTATGGATAACTGTTATGGTCGCTATACTATCATTGAGAAATACGTTACTTTTTAGCTCACCGGGTCCGAAGGACCAAGGTGAGCTTATACCATACCGTGTCTGGCCGTCCGTCAACAATTTCTTTAAACGACCTCTCCTTCTTAACCACTGATTGGAATTCAACTAAATTTGACTGGAAGCATCCCTAGGTGGCGGGGATTCGAAGTTGTACAAATGGTGGGGTTGACCCCAGGGGGATGAGGGGCGGGGCCAAAAAGGGGCAATTTGGCTATATTGCTTTAAGCGACTTCTTCTCTGGAACTAAGAAGTGGATATCAACCATTTTTGACTGGAAGCATCCCTAGGTGGTGGAGATTCAAAATTGTACAAATAGTTGGGCTGACCCCCAAGGGGGCCAAAAGGGAGCAATTTGGCTATATTGCTACAAACGACTTCTTCTGTACAACTGTGCACTGGATATCAATCATATTTGATCAAAAGCATTCAGGGATTCAAAATTGTACAAATGGTGTGGCTGACGCAAAGGTTTTTCTATTGCTCAATAGTGTTGTTTTGATGTAACTGACCTAGTTCTGGCTATGAGGACGTGACATTACTTGGATGTAATATAGATTGACATAGCCAGTGTAGTCGGTGAAGCAGAAGACGCTTACGTATACCCTTCCGAAACATTCTTTGTACTTTTTAGGGTCTCCATCTAAACACTTTCTTTCGATTTGATATCGATTAACGGTATATTTTATCATTATTATTCCGTAAACTATTGCGGTGCGGCGTCCGTCCATTATGTCAAAATCAGTTTCATAACAGCGACACTGAGACGTTAAAACGAATATTTCTACTTTCCTACCCATTTACTGAAACAGATGAAAAAAATTATACTAAAAATTATTTCACTATATTAATAACGAGTTAATCGGAAATTAAAGAAGAACATTTAAATTTAGACTCCTGATTATTAAATTCATAGTAATATCCTATTGTTATGATACCAAGAATGCATCTATTACATTTATGTAAACAGGAAATACACTATGTAACCTTAGATGATTTCTACTGATAAAGGGTTCAGTCTAAACCTAAGGTCATTTTTTCCTTCGTATTACGTCAACGCTCGGTCTTTCGTATTTCTTATCGTTCGATACGTCAGCAAAAGCCGACATTTTTTAAGATGCCTCGTGTGTATATAATATTGCAACGTTTCCTTCAGACGTCAGATAACATTCACAAGTGAGACGGAAAAGAAATTTGAACCCGGAACCGCATTTGTTTAACAATGAAAATAGAATACGCGTCAATCGACATATGACATATTGTTATAATCAATTTTCATTCATATTGATGGAAATCAATTATTAATATTATTGATACTGAAAGATCATTCATATCAATAATTCATTCATGTTATTGATGATCATATTTATGCATTTGATAATTAAATTTCATTCATATCATTAGTTATGCAATTTCATTCCTGTTATTCATATTCAAATATCATTCATAACATTTCATCAAATTATCAGTAATCAAATTGCATTCATATGAGAACTACTCAGTATATTTGAAGCAAATGCGTCTAACGTCTCCGTTTGATTATACGTAACTATTATTGATTGTTACCTCAGCAAATATGTCGGTTTTTCAAATGCGTCATGTCCATTCAATTATTGTAGCATTTCCTTCTGACGAAAGTTAACGGTTACAAGTATGGTCGGAGAGCACGTGAACCCGGAACATGATGTGTTAGCGCCGAAAATATGTGTCGAAAACCACGTGACCAGAATAACAGAAATATTATTTATTATTTTTCATCAATATTATAGATATTTGAATTTTCATATAAATTCAATTTTCTCTCATATTATAAATCAAATATCAGTCATGGATAAATCTAACATTTGGACAGTGCTATTGACTAAAACGCCACCTTTAGGCCAAATGAGAAAAAAATCATTAAATGTCTTATAAGTTATGAGAAATTATTCAAGTTGCATAAATCAATTTTATTTACTGAAAAAAGACTCTTGCCGGCCGTGATTCTTATCTAACTGCAAAAGGTCCTTTCATTCGTTCTATTGAAGATCAAATATCATTGTTAATGTTCTAAATTCAAATGTCACTCATGATATTCATGATCAATTTCACACATTCTATTGATGATCAATTTCCATTCATACTATTGATAATAAATTTCATTCATACCTATTGACAATTCATTTCATTCATATTATTGATAATAAATTCATAATAATATTGTAAATGATCAACTTCATTCATATGTTTTGCAATCAAATTTCATTATTTCTTTTATATCATTGAATATTTTGCCTTGTTTTTTTCGTCTCTTATCGGTTTTACATGTACGTCAGCAATTGTGTCGCCTTTGTGTGTCTATATAAATCTAAAATTATATATACCTTCAGACGACAGATAACGCTAACAGTTGTGTGATCGAACCGGACGCTTAATTCCAAACAGAATGTTTATGTATTTAGTGATGTTTCTATTATTCTGGATATTTCTTCCCAATGAAACACGGGCTGATGTTACACGAGATGTTCCCATACAATCGATTCAAAGACAAAATGCCAATCCTGGATTTGAAATTGAATTGAGCAGACGATTGAAGAATTTGAAAGATTTACGCGCCAAAGATGCATTACGTGTCAATCAACTTGTGATCCGGATAGCGGAACTAGAAGATCAACGCATGACGGACCACCTTGTGATGATCAGCAGAGTTTCTAAACTGGAAAAACATCATGCAAAGGACATAGTAAAAATCACAGAGAAAATGGAAAACCTTGTAGCCCTTCAGGCAAAAGATGTTCGCGAACTGTCCAATCGACTAGCAGAAACAGAAAATATGCTGAAAACAGATCAACTGAGACTGACGCAGTGTGTCCTTGAATTGAAAACAATGAATGAACGGGTTAATCTATTCAAAACGCCCGATGTGAATGTTCAACAATCGAATCTGACAATCGAATCAAGAGCCACTTCTAATACGCCTGATGAAAACGAGGCAACATTGTCATCGTTGGAAGAGAAGACAGCGGATATGACGTTTTTAAAAATTCCCCGTAGTTCTCCGAACATTTCTGTGGGTAAGATGTTATATCAACATTGTCAGAACACTATTTTCCGACACATATAACTTTCATATTATACAATTATTGACCTATTTAAAAATTCAATATGATGATGCATAAAGTCAAACAAAGTGATAATTGTTCTGCACCATTTGACCAGTTGGTCATTTCGTGTTCCATCGTTTGTAGTTAAAGTTAGAAGGGGAAAAAATCCTTGTCTTAACTGTTTCGAAAAATATGTATGAATGGAGCAAAAAGGTGAAATTTTCATTTAAAACAACGCTTTGATGCAACGGATATTCTTAATTATTTAAGATTTAAGAAGGCATTTGGTCGATCAAAATAAAGCACGATATACCGTTCGCAAATTTCTCGTTTGCATATGCAAACCCGGATGGCGGTTGTTGTTGACTTAATTAATTGACCCCGACACGTCATGAATTTGATTATTTTTGACGTCACAAACAATGGCATAAACCCGAAAGGTCAATGTGATTCGGCCTCACTTTGAGTATTCCTGACATCACCAATCCCATGCAGAGACAAATATTTTGAAGAAATGCACAAAAGCTTCTTAAAATTGTCGTCTCTTTTGGTGATTGTTGCTGATACGAACGGAACATCTACGACAGCATAACCACGATATACGGCCGCAAATTTAAAACAAAAAAGTCATCCCCTATATTTAATAGTTTATTTTTCGGCTTAGTATTTCAAGTTTACCATACCAGAACAAAACCCAACTACACGGTCCAGGTCAACAGCGGGCACCTACTCGAAGACGCGGACAGTCGAGTAGGTGTATAATAAAACGAACTATTTCCTTTTCGCGATAATAGTACTCCGGAGCTACGTCAGGTTTTTTCTCTGAAATTTTACATTTTAACAAATGGATGAACCGGTCTGTTTTCAAATGTAACATTTTCGGGTTATAAATCCTGGCAGACTTGCAAATGTTTATGCAGGCCTTGTATGGCTTTGTCAAGGCTCGCCTGAAAGCAACATCAGGGTACTAGGTCCGACCTTATTTCATAAACGAACAACTCTGGTCCAACAAGTCCAAGTGTGTGTATCGCGATAAACGAAAGCGGCCCATTTATAGCGTTGCAGATCTACAATATTAGGGTACAACAGATATTTAAATCAGTATTTAATGTAAAATATACCCTTAAATATAAAAATAGGTCTTTAATTATGATATCGTTTCACAGGTCATTTGGGATTCGAGGATTTTGGCGAGTGATATAACGACATACTAGTATGTCTTAAAACATTTAGTCTTCCGGATGTTTTTTGCACCGACTTGGACTTCTTATTTGATTGTTTCAGTAATGACGTTGTGATATATTTTATTCCATAAAATGACACTTCAGAACCAGGTAATCAATCAACTGGTTGGAACGCGATAAACAAAGACGGACAAGGCTTGTTTCATTCTTTTCACCTTGAGAACCAATGATGAGTCCTACATTGACTAAATGGCCCTAAGGTGCAGTAAACATTTACTCTGTTTGGTCATCTGCATCTACAAAGATTTTTGTCTTAAAATAGTAACAGTGACTTTAATCTTCCACGTAGAAACCCGAAACGCGCACTTGTTAAAGATATTGTCATACTGAACACTATTGCAACACAACGGTTTTCTAAAAACAGTGACAATGACTTTGACCTTGAACATAGAAACCCTAAACGCGAACTTGTTCAATGTTTTGCCATACCAAACACTTGAAGTTTCATAAAATTCCATTGAGGAATGAAGTCGGTAGAGCGAGTTTTTTTCTCTCTCTAAAAATAATAACAGTGACCTTACCCTTCAACATAGCAACCCGAAATGCGAACCCGTAAAGGCATTGTCATACTAAACACTTGTGTGAAGTTTCATGAAATTCCGTTGCGGAATGAAGTCGCTAGAGCGATGACAAAGAGTGTAAAATACGTACATTCGTACGTACGTACGTACGGGCGTTCGAACTTTCGTTGCGAGGGGATAATAAGTGGGGTCTTACTGGTGATGATTGTGACCTCTCTGTCATCCTCGATACTCTAGGGGTTACGCTCCCTTACGCTCTGTTGTACTCCTGCAGTATCGAGGATGCCTCTCTGTTAGAAAACCCTGTTATGTTATATTAAAGGTTAACAGAGCGAAAAGCGTTCACAGATGAAGACAATATTATAATTTAATATCAACAGAGATAAGATGTTGTATATAAAACAGAAACAGTTTAAAAAGTTTATAGATTTTCACGATAGTAAATAACGAAATACTTACAGACAATATTAACAAAGTTTACGGGCTCTTAAGATTGAAGTCTCTGTAGGCGATACTAGGCGGTGACATAAACTTGCAATTTAATTATTCAATCATAGTAACATGCATAATTGCCAGGCACAGTATAATATCTTTTGCAGATCTTATCAATGCAGATGAAAATTTAATGAAAGTGAGATACTTCTAATAGTTTGGACCGTTATCTAGCAAAGACTTACCCTTCTTTGTTTAACTTAAGATATTCAATGCAAACATGTTCAATTATTTGATGAAATGAAATATAGAAGGATATGCTTTTCTTTTAAAGGAATCTGAATTGCGCTTTTAAGACTAAAACCTTCTACGCAAAACAACGTCGCTCTGATTAGCCAAACATGGTAGAACAAACTCGCATATCTTATTGTACTAAGTATACATATGAGAGAATGTTATTTTGCTCTTTGTTATCTTTATGTCCTAACAGATCAAGCAGGCCGCTCTGTAGTCTTTAGTGTCACTCTTCAAGACGTTATGTCCGATCCTGGTGTTGGCCAGACTGTGATATTTAACAGCCATATTACGAACGTTGGTGCCAAGTACAGCTTTGAAACCGGGATATTTACATGCACAAAACCCGGTATATATATCTTCTCCTGGTCGGTAGAAGTCGCAAATCCTAATTTTCTTAGCACAGATTTGATGCGAAATGGCGTGACCATCGCCGAAACTACCGCCAAAGGAAGCGACGACTGGGGAGTTGGGTCAACCCTGGTGGCCATAGAACTGACCGTTGGTGATGAGGTGTGGGTTCGCGTCGATGGTCATTCCCCCGGAGCAGACATCCAGAGGTGGGGAACTAGTTTCACTGGATTTTTACTTTATCCATCGTAGACATCAACTACACTTGAAGTGTATTACGGGAACGTCTTGCTTGTGAGTTATTGTGAGGTAACAGGAATAAGTCTGAACGCTTACGATTACAAACATCACCAGCTTGTTTTTCGCTCGTGAAAATGTTGGCGTGGTGACTTTTTAACCTGGTCGTGATGTGTTTATGTTCGTGTAGTGACTTTTTAACCAGGTCGTGATATGGAAATGTTCGTGTAGTGACTTTTTAACCAGGTCGTGATGTGGAAATGTTCGTGTAGTGACTTTTTAACCAGGTCGTGATGTGGAAATGTTCGTGTAGTGACTTTTTAACCTGGTCGTGATGTGGAAATGTTCGTGTAGTGACTTTTTAACCTGGTCGTGATGTGGAAATGTTCGTGTAGTGACTTTTTAACCTGGTCGTGATGTGGAAATGTTCGTGTAGTGACTTTTTAACCTGGTCGTGATGTGGAAATGTTCGTGTAGTGACTTTTTAACCTGGTCGTGATGTGGAAATGTTCGTGTAGTGACTTTTTAACCTGGTCGTGATGTGGAAATGTTCGTGTAGTGACTTTTTAACCTGGTCGTGATGTGGAAATGTTCGTGTAGTGACTTTTTAACCTGGTCGTGATGTGGAAATGTTCGTGTAGTGACTTTTTAACCTGGTCGTGATGTGGAAATGTTCGTGTAGTGACTTTTTAACCTGGTCGTGATGTGGAAATGTTCGTGTAGTGACTTTTTAACCTGGTCGTGATGTGGAAATGTTCGTGTAGTGACTTTTTAACCTGGTCGTGATGTGGAAATGTTCGTGTAGTGACTTTTTAACCTGGTCGTGATGTGGAAATGTTCGTGTAGTGACTTTTTAACCTGGTCGTGATGTGGAAATGTTCGTGTAGTGACTTTTTAACCTGGTCGTGATGTGGAAATGTTCGTGTAGTGACTTTTTAACCTGGTCGTGATGTGGAAATGTTCGTGTAGTGACTTTTTAACCTGGTCGTGATGTGGAAATGTTCGTGTAGTGACTTTTTAACCTGGTCGTGATGTGGAAATGTTCGTGTAGTGACTTTTTAACCTGGTCGTGATGTGGAAATGTTCGTGTAGTGACTTTTTAACCTGGTCGTGATGTGGAAATGTTCGTGTAGTGACTTTTTAACCTGGTCGTGATGTGGAAATGTTCGTGTAGTGACTTTTTAACCTGGTCGTGATGTGGAAATGTTCGTGTAGTGACTTTTTAACCTGGTCGTGATGTGGAAATGTTCGTGTATTGACTTTTTAACCAGGTCATGATGTGGACATGTTCGTGTAGTGACTTTTTAACCGGGTCATGATGTGGACATGTTCGTGTAGTGACTTTTTAACCGGGTCGTGATGTGGAAATGTTCGTGTAGTGACTTTTTTACCTTGTCGTGATGTGGAAATGTTCGTGTATTGACTTTTTAACCTGGTCGTGATGTGGAAATGTTCGTGTAGTGATTTTTTAACCTGGTCGTGATGTGGAAATGTTCGTATAGTGACTTTTTTACCTGGTCGTGATGTGGAAATGTTCGTGTAGTTACTTTTTAACCAGGTCATGATGTGGACATGTTCGTGTAGTGACTTTTTAACCGGGTCGTGATGTGGAAATGTTCGTGTAGTGACTTTTTTACCTTGTCGTGATGTGGAAATGTTCGTGTATTGACTTTTTAACCTGGTCGTGATGTGGAAATGTTCGTGTAGTGATTTTTTAACCTGGTCGTGATGTGGAAATGTTCGTATAGTGACTTTTTTACCTGGTCGTGATGTGGAAATGTTCGTGTAGTTACTTTTTAACCAGGTCATGATGTGGACATGTTCGTGTAGTGACTTTTTAACCCGGTCGTGATGTGGAAATGTTCGTGTAGTGACTTTTTTACCTTGTCGTGATGTGGAAATGTTCGTGTATTGACTTTTTAACCTGGTCGTGATGTGGAAATGTTCGTGTAGTGATTTTTTAACCTGGGCGTGATGTGGAAATGTTCGTATAGTGACTTTTTTACCTGGTCGTGATGTGGAAATGTTCGTGTAGTTACTTTTTAACCTGGTTGTGATGTGGAAATGTTCGTGTAGTGAATTTTCAACCCGATCGTGATGTGGAAATGTTCGTGTAGTGACTTTTTTTACCTGGTCGTGATGTGGAAGTATTCTCGTAGTGACTTTTTAACCTTAAGGACTCATTATTGGTATGATGTTCTAAAGTTACCTGTCTAATCACTTATTTAGAGTGTACTTTATACACAACTTGAGAATATGAAATCAGAATAAATTGCTCCCATTTTACATTGGTTTATATTCAACTTACTGGAGGTCGTTTTAAAATGACGTAAGCATGTTTGAACATGTATGTTTATAGAATGCTGATGTATTGTCGTTTTACATTGTAAGAACTTTTTTTTGCTGAAATAAAAAAAAAATCATAATCCCATTCACATGTTCGCGATCGATGCATTAATAATAAATAGAAATACATTGTAAATATGTTGTTATATTGTTGTTTATAATATATAATTACTCGGTCAATTTTAACGTGAATGGAACATTACTCCGTACTTATCTACAGATAAAAACATAATCCTTTTTCTGCGAAAAAAAAACAAAAACAAAAACCAAAACCAACAAACAACATAACTTGGAATTTTGTCTGGAAAGAAAAATACATGGATTTGTTTTTGAGGAGTGCAGGAAACGTTTGCACAAATCTGTACAATATCTGTTTTACAATCGATCTGTGTGCACACGTTACGAATTCGCTGCATATTATGAAAAGCAGACTTTGTACAATCAACCATTTACAAGTTACAGTAATGACAGTAGGATTAAGTATGCCAGGGCTACCAATACACAAAGTTTGAACTCTGTGTGACGAAAAGTTTTTTTCAACTTGTCAATCAAAGAAACAAAATCTATTTTTGATAATGGTGACCTTGACGTCAGGCAGCCTCGATATCCAGGGTTACGTTCACCTTTGCTCTCTGAACCCATGGAAAATGTCATAGCAAAATAGAAGGCTCAGTGTGCATGCACAACCTTGTGGGCGAAACGAGAAGACTAGTTTGAACCTTTGATGTACAACAATAGAAACTTGCGGTCGCGTAACGGTAAAACTTATTGACTTTGAAGTTGGGCGTCGCTCCTCTGTAATCTTCAAAGGACAAGTATCAGTCTGGTGATTGGTCAGGTCTTTTTACCCAACACCAATCACATAGCTAGACGCGTGCCTATGACATATTCCAGAACGTCTAAATGGTAATCCAACATCACGTTAGATACCACAAACCTATCCTTGTAAGATTCACATCTTGACATCACCACACACGTCAAAGCCTATTCGCCATTTGGTTTTTTAAGGTACATCGATACTAATATATAATTCCTGAACACATTTTTCCTTATTAAGCCACCTGACTTCTGCAAACCGACCTTGTCTGTTCGTCATTGGACTGAAAATGACGTCCATGACCCTTCTGAAAAGAAAATAGACAGAGTATTTGCATCAGTTATGTGAAGTTATTGGAGAAATCGTACTGTCGTACAACTATGAAACCAACAAGGGTTTGAGGCAGTCGCTCACCTCTCGGACAATCCGTATATAACTTCATACGGTAGTAAGCATTACTAATGAAGACTCTGAAATTGAGAACAGTTTTGTACGGGAACACAGGCAGCAATATACATTAGAAATTAAAAGAAATTAAAACCTTAAAATTACAACGTACAATTTGTTTTTGAGCAGTACTAATCTAAATAGTGTTATGTAATCATTATCTTGCAATGTTATTATAATCACGGTACATGATAGAATAAGGAGTTGAGATAAATGAGGATATTTTTATAAGGATGTGAGATATATGAGGATATTGTTATAAGGATGTGAGATATATGAGGATATTGTTATTAGGATTTGAGATATATGAGGATGTTGTTATAAGGATTTGAGATATATGAGGATATTGTTATAAGGATTTGAGATATATGAGGATATTGTTATAACGATTTGAGATATATGAGGATGTTGTTATAAGGATTCGAGATAAATGAGGATGTTGTTATAAGGATGTGAGATATATGATTATATTGTTATAAGGATGCGAGATAAATTTGGAAGTTGTTATAAGGATTCGAGATAAATGAGGATGTTGTTATAAGGATTCGAGATATATGATGATGTTGTTATAAGGATGCGAGATATATGGGGATGTTGTAATAAGGATTTGAGATATATGAGGATATTGTTATAAGGATTTGAGATATATGAGGATATTGTTATAAGGATTTGAGATATATGAGGATATTGTTATAAGGATTTGAGATATATGAGGATGTTGTTATAAGGATGTGAGATCTATGGGGATGTTGTTATAAGGGTTTGAAATATATGAGGATATTGTTATAAGGATGTGAGATAGATGAGGATATTGTTATTAGGATTTGAGATATATGAGGATGTTGTTATAATGATTTGAGATATATGAGGATGTTGTTATAAGGACGTGAGATCTATGGGGATGTTGTTATAAGGGTTTGAAATATATGAGGATATTGTTATAAGGATGTGAGAGAGATGAGGATATTGTTATTAGGATTTGAGATATATGAGGATGTTGTTATAAGGAGTTGAGATAAATGATGATGTTGTTATAGGGATTAGAGATATATGGGGATGATGTTATAAGGATGCGAGATACATGAGGATATTGTTAAAAGGATTTGAGATATATGAGTTTATTGTTATAAGGATTTGAGATATATGAGGATGTTGTTATAAGGATGTAAGATATATGAAGATGTATTTATAAGGATGTGAGATATATGTGGATATTGTTATAAGTATGCGAGAGATATTAGGATATTGTTATAAGGATTTGAGATATATAAGGATATTGTTATAGGGATTTGAGATATATGAGGATATTGTTATAAGGATTTGAGATATATGAGGATATTGTTATAAGGATTTGAGATATATGAGGATATTTTTATAAGGATTTGAGATATATGAGGATATTTTCATAAGGATATGAGATATATGAGGATATTGTTATAAGGATGCGAGATATATGGGGATGTTGTTATAAGGATTTGAGATATATGGTGATGTTGTTAAAAGGATTCGAGATATATGAGGATATTGTTATAAGGATTTGAGATATATGAGGATGTTGTTATAAGGATTTGAGATATATGGGGATGTTGTTATAAGGATTCGAGATATATGAGGATGTTGTTATAAGGATTCGAGATATATGAGGATATTGTTATAAGGATTTGAGATAAATGAGGATATTGTTATAAGGAGTTGAGATATATGAGGATATTGTTACATGTATAAGGATTTGAGATATATGAGGATGTTGTTATAAGGAGTTGAGATAAATGAGGATGTTGTTATAGGGATTTGAGATATATGGGGATGATGTTATAAGGATGCGAGATACATGAGGATATTGTTAAAAGGATTTGAGATATATGAGGATGTTGTTATAAGGATGTAAGATATATGAAGATGTATTTATAAGGATGTGAGATATATGTGGATATTGTTATAAGGATGCGAGATATATGAGGATATTGTTATAAGGATTTGAGATATATAAGGATATTGTTATAAGGATATGAGATATATGAGGATGTTGTTAAAAAGAGTTGAGATATATAAGGATATTGTTATAGGGATTTGAGATATATGAGGATATTGTTATAAGGATTTGAGATATATGAGGATATTGTTATAAGGAGTTGAGATATATGAGGATATTTTTATAAGGATGTGAGATATATGAGGATATTGTTATAAGGATGCGAGATATATGGGGATGTTGTTATAAGGATTTGAGATATATGGTGATGTTGTTAAAAGGATTCGAGATATATGAGGATATTGTTATAAGGATTTGAGATATATGAGGATGTTGTTATAAGGATTCGAGATATATGAGGATATTGTTATAAGGATTTGAGATATATGAGGATGTTGTTATAAGGATTTGAGATACTGAGGATGTTGTTAAAAGGATTTGAGATACATGAGGATGTTTTTATAAGGATTTGAGATATATGAGGATGTTGTTATAAGGATTTTAGATATATGAGGATGATGTTATATGGAGTTGAGATATATGAGGATATTGTTATAAGGAGTTGAGATATATGAGGATATTGTTATAAGGATTTGAGAAAGATGAGAATATTGTTATAAAGGGTTGAGATAGATGAGGATGTTGTCATAAGGATGTAAGATATATGGGGATATTGTTATAAGGATTTGAGATATATGGGGATATTTTTATAAAGATTTTAGATATATGGGGATATTGTTATAAAGATTTGAGATATATGGAGATATTGTTATAAGGATTTGATATATATAGGGATATTGTTATAAGGATTTGAGATATATGAGGATGTTGTTATAACGATTTGAGATATATATGAGGATGTTGTTATAAGGATTCGCGATATATGAAGATGTTGTTATACGGATTCGAGATAAATGAGGATGTTATTATAAGGATTCGAGATAAATGATGATATTGTTATAAGGATGTGAGATATATGAGGATATTGATATAAGGATTTGAGATAAATGAGGATGTTGTTATAAGGATGTGAGATATATGATTATATTGTTATAAGGATGCGAGATAAATTTGGTAGTTGTTATAAGGATTCGAGATAAGTGAGGATGTTGTTATAAGGATTCGAGATATTTGAGGATGTTGTTATAAGGATGCGAGATATATTAGGATGTTGTTATAAGGATTCGAGATAAATGAGGCTGTTGTTATAAGGATGTGAGATATATGATTATATTGTTATAAGGATGCGAGATATATGAGGATGTAGTTATAAGGATTCGAGATATATGAAGATGTTGTTATTGAGGATATTGTTATAAGGAGTTGAGATATATGAGGATATTGTTACATGTATAAGGATTTGAGATATATGAGGATGTTGTTGTAAGGATTTGAGATATATGGGGATGTTGTTATAAGGATTTGAGATATATGGGGATGTTGTTATAAGAATTCGAGATATATGAGGATGTTGTTATAATGATTTGAGATATATGGGGATGTTGTTATAAGAATTCGAGATATATGAGGATGTAGTTATAAGGATTCGAGATATATGAAGATGTTGTTATTGAGGATATTGTTATAAGGAGTTGAGATATATGAGGATGTTGATATAAGGAGTTGAGATATATGAGGATATTGTTACATGTATAAGGATTTGAGATATATGAGGATGTTTTTATAAGGATTTGAGATATATGAGGATGTTGTTATATGGAGTTGAGATATATGAGGATATTGTTATAGGGAAGCGAGATATATGGGGATGTTGTTATAAGGATTCGAGATATATGAAGATGTAGTTATACGGATTCGAGATAAATGAGGATGTTATTATAAGGATTCGAGATAAATGATGATATTGTTATAAGGATGTGAGATATATGAGGATATTGTTATAAGGAGTTGAGATATATGAGGATATTTTCATAAGGATATGAGATATATGAGGATATTGTTATAAGGATGTGAGATAGATGAGGATATTTTTATTAGGATTTGAGATATATGAGGATGCTGTTATAAGGATTTGAGATATATGGGGATGTTGTTATAAGGATTCGAGATATTTTAGATTGTTGTTATAAGGATTTGAGATATATGCGGATGTTGTTATAAGGATTTGAGATATATGCGGATGTTGTTATAAGGATTTGAGATATATGCGGATGTTGTTATAAGGATTTGAGATATATGAGGATATTGTTATAATGATTTATAAATTTGGAAGTTGTTATAAGGATTCGAGATAAATGAGGGTGTTGTTATAAGGATTCGAGATATATGAGGATGTTGTTATAAGGATTCGAGATATATGAAGATGTTGTTATACGGATTCGAGATAAATGAGGATGTTATTATAAGGATTCGAGATATATGATGATATTGTTATAAGGATGTGAGATATATGAGGATATTGATATAAGGATTTGAGATAAATGAGGATGTTGTTATAAGGAGTTGAGATATATGAGGATATTGTTATAGGGAAGCGAGATATATGGGGATGTTGTTATAAGGATTTGAGATACTAAGGATGTTGTTATAAGGATTTGAGATATATGGGGATATTGTTATAAAGAGTTGAGAGGGATGAGGATGTTGTTAAAAGGATGTAAGATATATGGGGATATTGTTATAAGGATTTTAGATATATGGGGATATTGTTATAAGGATTTGAGATACATGAGGATATTGTTTTAAGGATTTGAGATATATGAGGATGTTGTTATAAGGATTCGAAATATATGATGATATTGTTATAAGGATGTGAGATATATGATGATATTGTTATAAGGATGTTAGATAGATGAGGATGTTGTTATAAGGAGTTGAGATATATGGGGATGTTGTTATAAGGAGTTGAGATATATGAGGATATTGTT